CTTGCCGTCCCGTCACTGCACACCTCAAACATTACACGCCGCCGCCGCTGCCGCGCTTCTTCGAGCACCCTAACGCCTTGTCAACGGCCGTGTGCTTCCCTTTTTCCACAACACGCTCTTCTGTCAACATATCTACGTGTACAGGATCGTAGTCAGCTCTCCGCCCAACCATTTCCCGCTAATTCACCTCAAACCGATTATTATATCTACCCTGCCACCATCCTGTACCCTTCGAAGGGTACGGTGCATATGTACAGTATTAGTCAATATAAACTGAAACCGACAGCGAGTATGTACAGTGTAGTTATAAAATACTATTTACAACTACTGTACCCACCCGCCGTCCGTTTCCGCTCTTGTTCTCATCTTGGGTAAATTACTGCTCTCGCCTCTTTCCCCTGGCCCTGAAGCGTATCGCCGCCTGATCCAATTGAATCAACCATTCAAAAGGCTATTGTACACACTTCAAGTTCAGATACCACTCAAATTAGGACCTCCTCTCCTACATCCCCCGCCTTTCAGGATCTGAAACCTTTTGTCGCCCCTCTCAGCCCCCGAGCTGTTTCGTCTTCGCGCCATCGGTTTATCGATATCCATCGATGTGCACTACCCAAGGGTAAAGGGTACGTCCAACGCTCCACGTCGCCATTTAGTCTTGCATCACGAGGAAAACTAGAACCGTTGTACACTCTCACGCTTCCTTCCATCAGTAGTAACGCCCTTCCGTAACCCCGTGCGACGTTGTTGTCCTCCCTTTACCCCCTCCCCTCTCCTTCCCATTCTGACTGTCCTGTTATGAACGTGACTCCTCCCTCCCCGTGATGTGATGAGACACCTTCTCTTGTCCTCTCTCTTTTCGTCTCTTTCATACATCAAGGCTCTACAATGTTTGAATTTCAACATCTCTCACGCTTTCCTTCATTCACTCCCCGCTCAAAAGGCACCCCCGTTAAGAATAATGGCACCCCTCATTTGCATCTTAGCATCAAGCTTTTAAAACCCTGCCTGCGAGACACCACATCCTGCCGATATCCAGGACAACTAAACGTGTTACACACCTTAGGCACGCGCCGTTCTCGCCCCGAGTTTTCACCGTAGATCCGCCAACCCTCCTCAGCAATCATTTTTTCTGTCCTTCCTGCCACACCCCAAGCAATAACAAACACCCCCCAAACAGATCCGACCATCCAAAGTCCGAACATCCGATTCCATTATAAAAGATTCAACGCCGTCAAACGCCCTCCCTCACCCTCATCCTTCTCTCCTACACCGGTCCGAGAAGCGATCAGCAACAGTGTAAACCCCATCCACAACCATCCACAACCATCCACAACCAAAACCCAATCCCCCTCTCCTCTCCTTACCTCTCCTCACTCCCCTCTCAAACTCCACCACACCAAACACCGCAACCAATCGACCTTCCTCTGCCCCAACTCGCAAGCCGTATCCACCCTCTTGCGCAATGAAGTTGTTCCTGCTGCTCGCCGTGGCGCTCGCGCTAACGCTGCCTTCATCGCAAGCCATCCGGCCAAAGTACCTGGAGTCGTCGGAGTCCTCTCTAGCGACGCTGAGGACGATTTCGCAGCGCGGGTCGCGCCTACTGCGGCGGTTGCGCCTGCGCCAAGAGCGTCTGTCCGCCGC